AGAAGGCACTGTACAATTTTCCTTTTGTGAAGCTGTCGTGGCAATGGTAGAAAAGATAATATTTCCAAAGCTTAGCCAAGACCAGGGCTAGGTCCCGAAGACCAACACGCCAACACAAGTCTACCACTTTTCGTAGTCTTAAGTCGTAGGGTTTGCAATATTTTTCAGCGACCTCTGAGTGTTTCTTTTGCAGTTTGCCCGAGAAGACGTATTCACTATGGGGCTACATGTGGCAAAATATCAGTGATTATGCCAATCCATTGTATATGGGAGGCAGGAACGAGTTACTTTGGCCATCTACCTCGCCTCAAGCTCTGAAGTAAGTTAGAACGGTAAAATTGAAGCTTGAGTGTTCGTGACAGAATGAACCAAGCTTACGTGACCTTTRRTTTTAATAATCCTTAAGATATGTCGGCAAAGTTCAAATAGTAAATTGGCCACCGTAACGATTACAAAAGCTGACGTTTAGAGCGTTAGTCCTTCGTCGGAGCGAAAGGGCTAACGGGCTAACGAGCTAAAGGGCTTTTTCATGTTTTGTTAATATGGCCTTTAACTTCGCCTCGTGCACTCAAGTGTGTCAGAATCGCAGAAAATTTGCGATAAAATAGCGTGACTGTGCTTTGCAGGAGGAACAATATATGCATGACTTTACCCTTTCATGCTTTGTCTACTTCGCTTTCAGCTTTCAAGCGGGCCAAAACTGTAATCTGGTAAAGGTAAAATAGAGAAGCATTGAAGAAAGCGTGACCATGCGTGACAACTTAAACTAAATTTTCGTGACACTACCTTTTAATTAATTTTGTTTTTTTATCTTTGATAGGTTTTGGCGATCAATGTATAATCGATTTGAGAACGACGTTCACCCGCGTGAGACAGTTCTGGATGCACTCAGCAGTATCATTGATCATAACGAGTCACTACAAGATCACATCAAATTTCTCTCCTCTGTAAGTAGAGTCTGTTTTTATTACATTTAAGCATCGAGGTACAGATCCGAATCAGGCATCGGGTCACACGCATTTTCCAGAGGGTGGTTTAATTGGTAACTAGTCGTGGGTGAATTGTCAGTCATGTTTTGTCTGTGGGATAGGAAGGCAGGGAGGGAGGGGAGGGTAGACGTTATTGCCGAGTTTCACACATCAAGTCCAACTCATTCATATTGGTAACTAGGTGGAAGTGAAATGTCACTCATCTTTTGTCTGTGGGATAGGGAGGATGGTACATGTTATTTCTGAGTCTCCCCGGGCCTTGTTCCCTCGTGATGTTGTCACCATTTAACAAAGTGGCTCTCGCACTCGAATTGTGCAAGAAACAATACTCGAGGAAGATGTAGCGAATCTTCAAAAAACGCGAGGAGATTTACTTTCTATTTTCGTTAAGGTTATTGATTATTGGTGGGCTCGACTTCAGTGTAGACTACGAGTAGCATCTCCTTTTCGGTGAAGTCCGTCGCGCGATTCCGAAAAATCAGCCAAAAAAAAATTTTGAAATTGTAGTTAGTGCACCGCGCGAAACTCTGGGAGTGAGGCGCACCAATAGAAGGGTACAAACTAAGCTAGAGACTTTGACCTGTGAGGCGCTCGCCGCGCACAAATACGATTGACTATCGGCTGGAAATCTCTCAAGAAGCGGTGATACGTTTCAACGCTTGTCAACACTCCTGATTGATCATGGTTGTCCGAGAGACTTACTTTTCAATCGCCTCACTCCCAGAGTTCAGCGTGGCGCGCTAGCTGCAATTCCTATTTCTTTTTCGCTGATTTTTCTAACTCATCCGACCTACTTCGCCGAAAACGAGAGACTGTTCGTAGTCTATTGCAGTGAAGTTTGATGTACATGAAGATGTTTGGCTTCGCCTCAACAGCGGGTTGAAATGATGAAAACACTGTCCAGTCCTACAACTGACTCTGAAAGCAACGCCCAATTTGTGGATTCACTTGAAATGAAATGTCTCCGTACTGAAGGCGAATCGCCAAGGGATTCGTCACATGACCTAGCTTCGCTTGAGAATTCGGTGAATAGTATGGACCTCAAGACAACACTGAAGAACAATTCATTACTAAACAGTCACGTGAATGACTCGTCTTCCTCGCCTAGTTCATCTGCGAGCCAGGCAAGCAGCGCAAATCAAGACAGCGGGACCGGGGACCTGGTATCGGATCAGTTGCAGAAAAGTTTAAAACGTCAGGGATTAACGGTGAAAGATCTTCTTCAATCTGCTCCACCGTTTGCTTTGGAGTGGAAATCAGTTCGAGATGTCTACCAATGTTCCACCTGCTCGGCTCCGATTGATTTTCTTAGTCGGAAGGTAAGTGGTGTTGCCTTGTAATCATTGCTTTAAAAGAAACTCCAGTTGAGTGTCGAAAGCAATGCATTGTTTGTTTGTTTTTTTCTTTGTTTGTTTGTTTGTTTTTTTGCTCTGTGAGTGATCTGGACAACTCAAACCATTTTCTCAGCTAATCAGATGCAATACTAAAAAAAAAAAATAAAAGTTAGTGACTATTTGAACCCTATGAAAAATTCAGGTTTTCAGTTGTCTGTTTCTGATTTTCATTCACCTGAATTCGGTTTAAGTAAACATGCTTTGCCGGTGTGTATTGGTACGGCTTTAACTGAATGAACAGCAGAAACAGAGAACTGAAAAACTGAATTTTCCACAGGTTTCAAGTGGTCGCTAGATTGTATTTTCAATGTGCTTCATTTGAAGTCAACAAACGTCGGTTTAAGAGGTTTCTTGAGGAAAACAGTGTTAAACCGTGTTTAACAAAACAGCTTTAAACTGTGTTTAAGCTTTGCTGTGAATGAGGTATTAGGTGCACGAGTCGTCAGTCTGCTGATATCTTCTGTTTAATTGACTTTTACAATCCTAATGATTGAATCTTTTCCCCGTAGTATCATTGTTGGAACTGTGGAGAAGTTTTTTGTAAAAGATGCATCGACAAACAGTGTTCGCTTCCTGGACATTATTCAGACAATCGTGTTCCTGTTTGCAAGCAATGTTACAAAGTCCTCAAGAAATTCAAATAGAAACTCTGCGCGCGATTATGTGCGAATGGTAGATTTTTAAGACAAGACAAGAAAAGACGCCTGCTCCAGGTGCTCAATCAGTGGAGACGGATTCGCGAAAAATTGCACATAGCGGCCTCACGGTAGGAGCAGTTGTCAAGGAAACGGCTACCTGCATGCTATCCTGCACGCGTCTTGACTGAATGAAAGTATGCAAAAGGCTGCAAGATGGGCAACAAACTTAAACAGTAATGTTAATTTCAGGAAAAGAGACAAAAATTTTTTTTACGTCGATGAATGGTTATAATAGAGAATATACCTTGAAACAAGCCATTTCACGAAAATTAATGGTTGTCAACGCAAGTTAAATGTACAAAAAGATTGGTGTTAAAATGAGAAAAATTATTATCGAGATTTAACACTGAAACTCATCGAATTTAATTTTCTAGTGTATCTGTAAAGGGGAGGCGGCATTCCTGTTTCTTTTTTACTTGCAAGTGTTGAAGGTAATCCCGAAGCGTACTGGTTTTACTCTTCTTGGCTTTGTGATTGGTTTAGAAAACCCGTCCCATTTTCTGAACCAATCAGATTCAAAGCCAACTTAGACACTAGCGTTTTCCCGCGCTTCATAGCGTTGACATTTGGCTACTTTGAGTTCTCATTGGTTACCTGTGACGTTTAGTTTGTTATGATTGGCTTCAGCAATTGCCTGGTCAATTGCTGATGATACTTGATAGTGAGGCACTCCATAAATTACTTTCCTACGCTATTTCGATAAAAAATGTAATGACGTTTTTCTTTTTTTTGAAGTTTTTTGCGTGTTCTTATTTTCTCTACCTGTCCTCAACTTTACCTTTATGTCCCCCCTCCTTGTGATTTATTAAATTTTTCTTACGAGATCTTTAACAGGAATGCGATAATTTCATTCGTAAATTTGCCCGGTCTTTCATTGCGAATCATTCTCTGTAAAGTAGTGGTAATTTTGGAAAGTGGTTATTTAGAAATGATTCAGTCGGACAGATTCCAAAAGCAGTTTTCTGTATCAAAAACAACAATTTAAATCAGAAGCCTTAAATGCGCGAGGAATAACGGCTTCAACGTGAAAGCGTGAGATTGAATTGGATTGCGTGAGTCTTACGCTTAGTGTGCGAGGCTTGAAAGCTCTGCAAATAGAAAACTTGTGTTAATAGAGGAAACTGTATGATACATTTTCTAGAGGGGCTGAATATTTTATTGAGTTCTCATTGGTTGATGATGATGTTTCCCCTCTGTTCTAATTAGTAGCTGAGATCACCAGGTCAAGTGAGAGCGCATGCTCAGGCGGTGTGCGCACGCCTGGTGCATGCTGGTGCACGTGCAAGATCATTCTTACACTGTACGTCACTAATGAGTGTAATTAGTCTCTATGACGTCAAACAAGTTTAGTTACTCATTTCTTCTTTGCGAGAATGTTGCGTTTACCGAATGGTTAACTCGGCGTCCATTATGAAGAAGGAAAAAGTTTGTATCAGTATTCTGCTTTTTATACTGATTTGCTTCAGCGTCAGAGAAGGTAAGGATAGTGTTTAGTTTGAAATTGCGCGTGTTCTGCTCGTTCGCGGCCTTTTTTCTGGTGTAACGGCTTCACTTTACGTCAGAACAATCGGGGTTTTTAGGTTTGACTGACAGTCAAACTATTATGATTTGATGAGAAAATAAAAACAAAAAGCATTTCAAACAATAGGGAAAAGCAATAAGAACAGCTGCAGAGAGCGTTGATCTCGATCAAACTTTAGTGCACTGTGGGGCAGGGATAATGCTGAGAGCGCTCACCTACCGGCACTGTAGCCATGGTGTTTCGATTCCTGCGAACCTAGCGTCACAAGTTGGGTTTGTTGTTTGTTCTCTCCTCTTGTCTCCTTCCACCACAAAAAAACTAACATTTAAATTCCAATTCAACCTGGAAACAGCGGACAAGAAAAGCCACTTAGAGGACAGTCCATTGCTGAATTTCCATTTTTACTCCTATTTCATTCTTACGGCATTTAAAAAAAAAAAAAAAATAATAGGATCCATTACAAAAGAACGTGGATCTCGATGAAACTTAAGAGTATGGTTAGGCAGGGGACGTTAAAGAACCCACTCACGAGATTACTGTGATGTGGTCTGGCCTGTTTACTGGGAATTGGGGGGAGGGGGCATCTTCAAATAAGTTTCCCTCGATTTTTCTGTAAACTGCTAATGCAGTCCGGCCGAAGTCCCCCGAAAACTGTTGTGATGCGCATTTGATCATATCCACATGTTAATTTGCACAATATAAATATTAAGTTATTATTAGTTTGTGGATTTTAGTGGAAAAATCATCAGGGCTCGAAACGATTCATTCTAGTGGAAACAGTGTTAAAAGGGTAGTCAGAAGAGACAACAGGATCAGAAGAAACTGAGTTGGGCCATCGATTCTTTCTTATTATGCGCACCCAAAATTTCTATTTTTGTATTGAATTTTGAACAAGCGTATTTGAATGCTAAATTACATACAATTTGAAAACAACCGAGGTGTACGAATACATGTCGATCAGGAAACTTGCAGTTCTATTTTAAGTGTCAGGATCTCCCACGTATACATCTTTACTAGTTAATGTGGGTGAACCTGAAACTTGAAAAAGAACTTACTCAGGAAGCCAGATATTATATATGAGGTAAATTGTTATGGATTATTGGTCAGTAAGAAACTGGGAAACCTTAATGCGAATGAAAGTACGTGTACTCATCTTTCTAAAACACACTTATGGCGTTTTTTAGTTTAGCGGAGAGAGGGATAGAGGGAAAAAGTTTAAAATTATTCTAAGGCGCCTCTATTCATCCTATATTGCGCACGAAATATTGGATTAAGA